GGACGACGAGGACGACGAGGACGACGAGGACGACGACCGAAATTCGACCGAGTCTCTTGATTTCATATTATCAATATATTTTTTCAAAGCATGTTATGATAACATAGGACTGACGAAGATTATATAGAGTTAAAAACATATTTATAGTATATTTTTATAGTCGGTTAAGTCCTCTTATCTATTTCATGAACTACGATAAGTTTATCTTTATTTACACGTTATCGCTTAAAGTTTTTTCATATTACACGTACAAATGAAGCAACACTTGATTTAACACAAACAGCCATTCTCAACAAATACTATTGTTTGACATATGCAATCTCAGTATACTCAATTGCGTGTAACGTGCTATTCTCTCAATGATTTGGAAAAGAATGATCCTACATGAACTGCGGACTCTTTTAAGAAGAGTACTAAATACTATAACAGTTGGACGACTTTGACGTAATACAGTTTGATTAATAGTACCTATTACAGGGACAATGGATATCAAGGGTAAAGTAATGAAGCGAGAAAAACGATTCATTCCTATGATCTGTTGTAGTTGAAGAAAATGAGTATCAACTTGATAGTTTCATCGGATGAACATTTTATTTTACGTGCGTAAGTGAGGTGTTTTATACTATATCATTGCTGACAACCTGATACTATTTATTTAGCTACTTTCTACAATGGCATGTTCTAATAGGAAGTTGTGCAATGTATGTTTTGCTATGAACCAATTATCATATTATAGTGAAAAATCGTCTTAAGGAGAATCATAATAAAATAAGTAAAATTAAGAATACAGGTAAAATTTGTAATGAAGAAACATTTGTAGAGATGTCAAATGACGTAAATTAGTACCACTTTCGTTAGTCATGCAGAAATCTCAACTATGAGTGAGTCAACATAGTTTAACATGTGAATTTTATCTTGAACGTATCTTAACACACATATGTCATATCAGTGGTTATGATATTTTTTTACATCACTATTTACATAATAAATGACTGATACTCGTTTAGAATTGATTTTGAAATACACAAAAAATATAAATTATATGACAAATGGACATTAGTATATGAATTCTGTGTAATGGAGTTTGAAGTGGACGAGTACTATGTTACGTCCGCGTGGAAAATCAAATCCTACGTACGTGGTCTATGTCCAGCTATAGGAAGACTAAACAGTGGGTCTGGTTTTCATCACATAGCGACCCTAGGATATGGTTATTTAATATATAGGTTCTAGGCCTACTGACAATGTGTAGAGCCTAACGAAAATGTTTATAGAAAGCGTTTTTAGTTTGACTGTTATTGACGTTATTTATGGGATGCATATGCGGACGCTCCTAACTTTATGACTCAATGACCCTTCCTGGAAAACCCCACTAAAAACTCCTTATTCATTTACAAAGAAGT